AAGTTTGGTACATACAATTTGTATGTTCCAGCTTGAGGGAGAGTATTGAGTATTTATTATATTAATTGTATCTAACTATTGACCTAGTTCCTAGAATGTATCTATTTTTCTTCTCTAGGTTTAATCATTTCTCCCTATTTATTGTATCTTAGAATCTGTATTTTTATCCCCTATAAATAAGAAAAAATGATAAGCTCTCAAAAACATTTTTTTTATTTTCCTATTATCTATTTCAAGTATTCTCAAATATATTGTTGAAGATGTCATAAGACAAAGATTCGTTATCGAAAATTACTACCATTGAGAGATGCTAGAAGACAAAAATATCAAGATCTAGACCAATGAGTACCACAAGTTGCTTGAAGATATTAAAGCAGAAAACATAGTCCTACTATGAGTTTGTTTCAAAACTTCTAATCGAAAAGCTTTTGAAATCCTGGATAGACTACAAACAACAATTGAAGCATAGACATAAACAAATGTCACTATCAGATCTCATTACGCACATAATCATCGAAGACACCAATCGGAAAGAGATTGTGTTGCTGAAAAGGCTAAGACATTATCAATTAAGGTTAATATAGTAGAAGACAAAGCAACTCCAAAAAGGTACAAAAAAGAAACTTGATTATAAGAAGAAAAATAATTTTAAAAATTCTCATCCTAATGGATCTAACCTCACATTCAAGAAGAGAAATTATTTTGTCAGTAGAAAATCAGGTCATCATGCACCTGAGTGCAAACATAGAATAAGAAATGACAAATTGTGGTTATTTTCTAAATAAGTCTTGTGACAAATTGAGCAAATGAGTGGTAGACTCTGGTACTACCAGACACATCTGTGCAAACATAGGTGTTTTTACCTCTTATACTAGTGTGGGGATGGATAAGAACATGTTTATCTCAGTGATTCCAGGAAAATTCTTGTACTAGGAAAAGGAAAAGTTCTTCTAAAACTCATATCTGGGAAGACTTTAGTCTTGAGGGATGTGTTACATGTGTCATCAGTAAGAGTTAATCAAATCTCTGTAACACTGCTGGGAAAAGTTGAGGTTAAAGTGTCATTTGAATATGATAAGATTGTTATGACAAAAAATAATATTTTTATGGGGAAGTGATATTGTGGTTAATGTCTTTTTGTACTCAACATCTTGTTAATGAATGTGATTCTTTTACTTATATTGTTGATTCATATGATATGTTGCATGCTAAACTAGGACATGTGAATTCCTTGTATGTTATGATATTGCAATGATTAGGATTAATTAATATGTTTGATAAACAAAGTAAGAAATGTGATATATGTGTATAATCTAAAATAACCAAGAAAAAATGTCAATATGTAGAATGTCAAATTGAACTTCTAGGATTAATTTATACTGATCTAGCTTATCTAAAACAAACCATGTTTAGAGGTGGTAAAAATTATTTTATAACATTTATAGATGACTACTCTAGATACATTAAAATATACTTAATCAAACATAAAGATGAAGTGTTTGACATGTTCTTAATTTATAAGAAAATTAAAAGGATTAGATCATATAGAAGTGGTGATATGTATTATTTAGTTATTATTATTATGTTAAATAAGGTATTGTTCATGAAGTTATCACACCATATTCACTTGAGTTTAATGGAAAATAACTAAGAGAAAAAATAGAACTCTTAAATAAATGATGAATGTCATGTTTATTAGTTCTAATGCACCTGATAACCTTTAGGGAGAAGCTTTACTTATAACATGTTTTTTACAAAATAGGATATCACATCAGAAAACTGGTAAAACTCCCTATGAGTTATAGATAGATTATCAACATAATCTTAAATACCTAAGAGTGTGGGGTATCTAACTAAGGTAATGTTTCCTGATCTTAAGAAAGGAAAAGTAAGTTCTAAAACTTTTGATTGTATGTTCTTAGACTATGCGGAACATAGTACTGCTTATAGGTTTTTTGTCCTTAAACGTGGTGTAATTGAGCATAATACTATAGTGAAGAAAAAAAAATGTTGAGTTTTTTGAACATATTTTCTTTTAAATGTTAGTGAGACACCTGAACAACCTATAAATATTAATAGTGATGACATGTATGGGGACTTGAGAAGAAGTAAAAGATAGATAAGGAAACCTCCTTTGGATATGATTTTTACACGTATCTAGTTGAAAATGATCCAACGAGCTTTTCAGAAGTAGTTAGTGCTCTTGATGCAACACATTGTGATAAGGTCATTAAGATTGAAATTGACTCAATTAAGAAAAATAATACTTAGACTTTAGTATATTCACCTAAAGGAGAAAAACCCATTGGTTGCAAGTGGATCTTTAAGAAAAAGTAGCATCCCAATGGATCCATAGATAATAAACATAAGGCACGATTAGTAGCAAAGAGTTTTACTCAAAAACCTAACATTGATTATTTTGATACCTTTGCCCCTATGATTAGGATTTCCTTTATTCGAGTTTTATTAGCTCTAGCAGTTATCTATAAGCTAGTTATACACCAAATGGATGTTTAGATAACCTTTTTGAATGGTGAATTAGAGGAAGAAATTTATATGACTCAACTTGAAGGGTGTGTTGTCCCTGGTCAAGAGAAAAAAGTGTGCAAACTTTTAAAATATTTGTATGGATTAAAACAGGTACCAAAATAATGACATGAAAAACTTAATAGTGTTCTACTTTGTGATGACTTTTCAACTAATGATGTTGATAAATGTATGTACTCTAAATGTGAAAGTGGTGAATATGTCATTATATGTTTATATGTAAATGACCTACTAATATGTGGTACATGCATTGACATAATATCTAGAACTAAGTTGTTTCTGGGATCTAAATTTGACATGAAAGACATGGGTGAAGCCAATGTGATTTTGAGAGTTAGAATCATAAAGAATGGAGATGGTATTTTACTATCCCAAGAACAATACATTGAGAAACTTCTTAGGAAATTTAGGTATTATGACGGTAAACTAGTGAGTATCCATTATGATACTAACTCTAAATTAAAGAAAAATAGAGGAAGTTCTATCTTTCAACCTCAATATTTCTAGATAATTTAGAGTTTACTACATTTAAGGAGTTTTTCTAGACCTGACATTGCTTATACAATAGGTAGACTGAGTAGGGACACTCAATGTCCTAACCAAGAACATTGATATGCACTTGCAAAGCTGATGAGATACTTAAGAGGTTCAATGAATTATGTCATTGAATATAGTGGATTTCCTGTTGTATTAGAAGAGTACAATGATGCTAACTAAATCTCTGATTCAGATGAGACAAAATCTACTAATGGTCATGTTTTTATGCTTGGGGTGGTGCAATGTCATGGAGATCAGTTAGACAAACAATTATTGCAATATCAACAATGAGATCAAAATTTGTTGCTCTTTAAATGGTTAATAGTGAAGCTGAGTGATTGAAAAATTCTTTAGCAAATATTCCATTAGGAATGAAACTAACCACGTCTGTGTCAATATATTGTGATTGTCAATCGATAATAGCTATAACTAAAAACAAGAATTACAGTGGAAAGAACACTCATATACAATTGAGACACAATTTGGTGAAATAACTGCTAAAGAGTGGAATAATTTCCATTGACTATGTGAAGTTAAAACGGAATCTAACAGATCCTCTGACAACACCCCTAGGAAGAAACATGATTTTAGAAACATTGAGAGAAATATGACTCAAGCCCCTTTGAAATAAACAAGTGATGGTAACCTAACCTTTGTGATTGGAGATCCCATGAATAAGGTCCATATAGGCAAAACCAAGTTACTTGTTAGTTTGTTAGCACTAAAATTGATTAAAATCAATTATGTTCATTTCTATGGTGCATATGAAAGTTCTAGATACTACATTATTGAGAGGTTAAACTTTATAATTAAAATTCTATGTGGTGTTACAACTAATATATGGTTGATGAAATCTCTTATATAAGTGTCGAGTGAGACTGCTTGTATGAGATCTTGGTAAGATTTCTAGAATACTCATGAATACCGAACTCGCACATTGTTTCCTCTCTTACCTCACCACCACCTTCAATCTCATCTAGGTCTATGAATCATTATATTAATTCAAGAATCAAGAAGAGAAGAAAAATGAAAAAGGAAGAGAAGAGAGTACAAAGGAAAGAAAATGGAGATTGAAGAAAAAATTAATTCAAATCACTTCTTTTTTCTTTCCTTAGAGAATTAACCAAAATTTTATTTTGTGGAGAAAAACTATAAAAATACACTTCCTTAGACACATTTTAAACATAACATTAAATAGACAAAATGATGAACCAGGAGTACCACAAACTTATGATCACAAACACATTCTCTATTTGTGCATGATGTTCAAGCTTTCGAAGATTTAGTATATTCAGCACCAATTACTAGCCGAGAAGAGCACATTTTTTTTAGTTAAAAAATTGTTGGATTATTTTGTGTAATTTGTAAAGAAATTGGTATAATAATGTTAGTTAATTGGAAAAATAAAATAATAACTATATTTAAACAAAGTAATAAAGCTAGTTAAACCAAACTTCAACTCCAGTTAAAACACCTAATAAACCTGGTTGAAATATGACATTAATATCAATAACAAAAAATAATTATTAGCAATACCTTGAGAGAGTGAGAAATCAAAATCATGAAAACCTGTTTATATTATTTATTTTAGAAGTAAAACTCTATTACATGCTTTATAGAATTCACTATTACACCTTTTACATTCAATTTACATAGAAATTGGTAGAGTGAAACAACCTTAAAAGCTTAACATAAACAAGCCTAAAGTCCTGCACTATCTTCATTTGTTGTAGAAACAAGTTCATCTCCACTAACACAGTAAGGACAGACTTTATACTATCTGAAGAATCTAATTTCGTCGTGAATTATTTCTTCTGTCATGAGAAAGCTATGAGGAACAGCCAATAATATTTTGTGCAGAGACCTTACCAACCAATTAACAAATGAGAGAATTTGTTTTATTCCAAGCTACATGTTCACAATTTAAATTTTCTTGTAGTAATATCAAATTTCTCTGATGATGATAAAATAGGGACCTGCAATGCACCAAATAAAAGAATCCAAATTCATCATTAAAATTCATTCAGGAACTATCCAACTATGATTTATAACGGATTTTGGATGAGTTGGATGCTCAGAGAAAAGTTTATATAAATTCTTGATCCTGCTTCAAGGAGATAACATTCACCTCCTTTTATATATCATAGATTATGTAATTTTGGGCATAAAATAAATTATCAGTGATAAAATAAGATTGTGTGCTTTAAAAATTGAAAAACAAGATCATTGATTTTAGAGTGATTCATACTTCATACTGATATGCCCTTGCTGTAATGTGCTAACAATGTTCGAATGCAAGAAAACCAGACAAATTTCTAGAATGGTTTGAGTTTATCTTATACACAAGAAGGATAAAATCTACTAAAAACATGGTTAATGAAGATAAGGCTACTATATTAGGGACAGAAAAATGTATTTGTATGAAGTAACATAATGTTATGAGCAATAATGATGGGTGGCTGCTACTGAAGACAATTGGATAAATGCTAAACAAAATCTTGGATTCAAAACACTTCAAAAGCAATGGCAACTAAAGAAGATGAAAGCCTACCTGGTCGATTTTACGATGGAAAATACGTCTCAAGAAGCAGTTATGTAATTTGCTTTGGCGAATCTGTTCAATTTCCTCATGTATCTTTTCTAGTAAAATGGCATATGTTATTTGAGGATGCCCTCTGATTATTTTTGAGAAAAGATAGGTCATAATACCGTTATATTTTCCATCAAAACCCTGAAAAGGTTGGTGAAAATTCACAATTCATGATGTGAAAGTAGATTAGTTTTATTTCATCAAAGATTCTTACTGCGGTATCAACAGCCATCTGACTATCTTCACAAGCACTGAGGCAAATAGCAACTCCACCACTTGTTTGTTTTTCCTTACAATGGGGTGGTCTGTGTTCTTCACATTTCCAGTTGCTTCTGCAAGCATGCAAAGGAGACCAAAGAGTGAGTTTGGAAGAGAACAGAAGCATAAAATCAAATGAAAGAAAGCATTGGATATGTACTTACTTTTCTTTTTTCCACAGATACACAAGATCAAGTGTTGTTCCACTATGACAAGCATCAATAATAGCATGAAGTGTGACACCTTTCTTGAGTGGTTGAACAATGATAGAATTTATTTCGTTGTCAGTGATCATTCCCTCTCTCAGAAAATCAACAGGACAAAGAGTTTCATCAAGCCCGTCAATTTCATCTCCTTTCTGTTGTTCTGGTTGTTGAAAACCATGTCCAGAGAAGTAGAACACTAATGAGCCCTCTGACTGGCAGTCACTCACGAGCCAGTTTAAGGAATCCAGTATGTTCTTCTTTGTTGGAATTAAATTGGGGTCCTGCTCTTCTTCTGAAATTTACAAGTTTTGGAATAAAATTAATCTGTCTCTTTCATTAAACTAGTAAAGCTACCACTTTCTATTCTTGCTAAACACTCATACACAAGGAAAGTTATAGATCTGATGAAAGTGGATATGGCTGAGATATTATTTGTTAACAAAAACAATAACTACCTAATCATTGGCAAATGTGGTTCAACAAAAATCCAGGCAATAGCTAGCATAATACTCAGGCTTTCAATACAGATATTGTTCATTATTATCTACTAAAATATATTTCTATTATAGTTTTTTATGCATTCAAGCAAAAAGAAGCATAAAAGTTAAATAAAATTGAAATGAATCCGGATTACCAATTAGACAAGGACTGAAGGAGATACCTGTGAGGACACGTATGCACTCATTTGGGAATTTAAATTTATCACGCAGTAGAGTTATCATGGTATCAACATCGTTAATGGTTCCTTCGAGCTTGAATGTCCTTTTCCTGTATGTAACACCGCATAAAACTGCGCGCTTGTGACCTGGGGTGGAGAAGGAGAAGGAAGAAGTAGAGGATGGAGATAATCTTCTGGGTGAAGCTCCATTTGTGTTATTGTTATAATCATTCGGTTGATGATCTCGTTTGAAAGATCCACGTTGTTTGGTTGATTGCTCAGAAGCTAAAGAAGGTGAATTGCTTACTTTTTCACATTTGTAGCAACGGTATGCATTTGAAATTGTAGGTAATACAAACTCGTATTTGCAACCACTGCAGATAAGTTTTCCTTCCCCAACACGCTTTGAAATAGGGCAACGAGGTGTAGTAGTGTTCGAGTGAAAAGGAGCACCCTTTCTCCTTCCTCTACTCTTATTTTTACCATCCATGGTTTGAAACCTTGATTTCTCTATAGATCAAGCATGCAACCAATATATACATATTCAAAGCAGAGGATGTATAAGCAATCTTAGCACCAACATTACAGAGTTTTTAATTGATGAAAAGAAGTCAAATGAGGAATCCATTCCCACTGTCTGTCGAAAATGCTGAGTGCTGACCATTTTTCACGGTTCAGATTTGAAGGTGTGATGTACTCTATTGTCAAAACAAAAGTTGAATAGAAAATAAGATCAATGATGTAAAAGAAGAAAGACAGCAAAATATAACTCTACCCCACAACAACTCTTTTGCGTCCCATATACGCCTTTATCCATTATTCTCGTTAAACATCATCAAGAACCAGATTCTACTCACTGTTTCTTTAGCTGCCCATAATTCTTTTTATACTTGCATTAAGCCCTGGTTTGCTTCTGCGGCTGGAATGTTCCTACCGAAAGAAGTGATTTGAAGGAGATTGAGTGATTTGCATCAAGACAAAGAGGAGAAGATGATTTCAGAGGATTCACTGTTTGTCAAACTGCTGGAAAAATGTAAATGAAATTATAAAGAAAAAAATTATTTTGACACCCACTCTTAAAAACACTTTAATATAATATTTTTTTTAGTATTATTTATTATTATTTTAATTTTTTTTTAGTTGTTGATTGAGTGTATGGAGTGTTAAATACTAACTTATGCCTCTTTCCAATACCATGCACATCAACCCTAAATAATTTGTAATAACGAAAAAAAAAATTTCACCATATTACACGATATTGAAAAATAACATAAAAAATTTACTAACTTACACAAAGATCAAGGTCTTTCGCGTCTAATCATTCAAAAAGATTTGAATATTATTGAATTATGTTTTGAGCATGATATTTGAAAGATAAAATTTCAATTTTTAAAGATGTGGAGTTGTAAATTTTTTCTTTTTTAAATGAGAGAATTTGAAGCACAGGATATAATTATTAAATCAACTGTTAATTGGTTTATCCTATTTTTTTATGTTTTATTTATTAATTTATATTTGTTTTTATAGTTAGGTTATGTGATTAAATTTTTTATTTTTAATAATTTTTTAAATATGTAATTAAAGTTTTAAAATGTTAAAAAAATCTTAATATGAAATGTTTAATTCTTTTTTTTGTCATATTATTCAGGATTGTAATTTTTTATTTATTTTAGATTTAACACAATTTTTAATACTTTTTAAATATGGCATTATAATTATAATATTTTGAAATAATTTTTTATATACTTTTTAAAATGATTCAAAATTTATTTTTAAATAAATTTTAATATATTTTAAATTATAAAAAATAATTATTTCATATTTAATCATATTCTATTTTAAATATATGTTCATTCTTATTAAATTTTACGTATAAATATTTTGATCATTTATTAAACCATACAATTAATATATTTATTTTATTATTTTAAATCAATCAAATCATTTATAAATTTTTTTAGCTTTCTTTCTCAATCTTTGAAACTTTTTATTAGAATTTAATTTTATATAAAAAATTATATAGATATATATTATCTAATCATATTTATTTGTTCATTAATATCAAGTGATAACAAGGTAAATTCTTTTTAATACCAATATAAAAATATTTTATATAGTTTATATTAATTGAATTTTTTTTCATTTATACCTATTTAAATTGAAAATCAGAATCTTAAGTTTAACTTTTCTAAAAATTAGTTATGCACAGAATATTTAAGAAAATAAATACAAAACATTTCTATGTATTAAGCTAAAAATGGCTTAAACAAGTATTTGTATTTACAATATACATGACCATCAATAACATTGATAACATAACACAATATTATCAATGATAAATACATATTAAGAAAAATAAGAAACTTAACAATAAAAGAATATCTAATCTTTATGAGCATTTATTTTATTCATATATATTACATGTATTATTCTTTGGAAGTAATAATCTTTGAGGAAAATTATTATTGGTTGTAACAAAAATTTCCGCTATGTTTTTATACCATTAATCTCTATACAACAAATTAAATTGAAACAATTCTCGGCAAATTTATTCACCACGCATTCGTGATATCTTGGTGAACAGATCATCCAAAGGAATAGTGCAAAGGTTACTATTGGAACGATGTTTAATTTAAAATAAAAAATAAAAAACTTATGACAAACAAACAAATGGTTGAAAAATATAATCTTCAAATGCGGTTTAATTAAAAAAAACTAATAACAACCACATAAATCATTAAAGGTCTCAGGTCAATTTGAGATAAAACCATGAGTGCCAATCTTAATACAAAGCATACAAAACAATTTAAAAAATAAAAGGAAACACTAATTGTATTAGTAAAATAAAAAAGGAAAGTCTCTTAATTTTAAGCTTTACCATTAGACTACTATCTTACAATAATTCAATCTTCCATTATATAATTAACACAGGTTTTAATCTAATTTGTATAGATATATGTACATCCAAGAATTGATCAATTTCAAATTCTTCAATGATATATAAATTGCAGCAGAGGTGTGGATATGAGAAAACAATATCAATATTGGTTCTCTTGCGAACAAACAGGGCAATGTTCGAAAGTCCAACATACTAGAAGAAATTAATAAAAAATACAATACAATAAAATATGAAGTATTCCATCAACACCCGAACGCTGATTTTATCTTCTTGTTAATCACATCTTTCTACCGTCTTTCGAAGATCATTCAGCACCCATAGTTAAAAGGCTTTGTGTCCACACGAATTATCATACAAGGTTGCCTGACACTACAGCTGTCATAAGTACACCACGATAACAAGAGTAAATCATATTCATTATAGATTTCTTCTGAAAAGTGTAAACCATATTGGAATCTCTTCCCTCCCCCTAATAGCTGCAATTTATTTTGTTTTATGTATTTTGATCTCTGTAGTAAGAACTTTTTTTTTTTTTTGCTCACCACTTAGTTCTTGAGTAACTGTAAAATCAAATTAGCAAGTTTAAAATACTAGAATAGTGCTCTCACCTTCGAATTAAGTGAATACAGTATCTCTCAGTTAGACAAGATCATAATTGGGAGATAGGATAACGGAACCATTCTAATCGAACCATGCATCTGTAGAGAGATAGAAATTACCAGTCTATAGACAACCAGCATTTGGCGATCCACAGTCCAACACGTTGATTTGACCAGAGATTTTTGCTTTACAAGCTGGACACATGAATCCAACAGAATCTGGTTGTATTTCAGAATTAACAGCATCATGTTTAAACTCTATTCCACACCATACACACATAGTTGTAAGCTGATTTCTGCCGCCAATATTCAGCATATTCTCCTGTGATTCAAACTGAACTGAGGATGCGTACGTCTGTTCCATCACTGTGTTATTAGCCAATTCAGTTGGTACCGCAGGCAGAGAAGAAGAATCTTGAACCCTTGCAAAATCATAATCAACAGTATCTAATTCATCAAACCTCAATTCCTGGAAACCCTTCACATTATCATGTTCATGGTCAAGACTGCATAACACTTTTCCTCCCTGTCAATGAGCAACAACAACAATTTTTCAAGGTAAAGTTCAGCACTACCAACCAGTCGAGACGTATCATGGCTGGGTAGTAGCTAATTGCTCATAAGAGATTTATAGTTATTATGCTAGATTCTAATAATCATCACAAGTAGATGTTAGCAAGAGTTCAGCTGAAGAAAGAGCAAAACATCCAGAAATGTACTATACAAAGATTGTTTCAAGTGCACAAGCACTGGTCATCACCTGGCAATTAGAACTCCTCGAATCTACTACGACACACTAAATTTAAGAAAAGCACAAGATTGGCAAGCTAAAGACTGGGCAAGGGCAAGTAAGATAATCAAGCCTTTTTATTATGTGGAATTAAAGGCAGGTTAGACCCATGACTTCTTCATTTCCCCAAAAACAAAATAATCAAAATAAATAAACTAGTTTATTTCTCTATGTAACATACATGGAAGGCCAGGATGATGAGAAAGAATAATAAATTCAACTACATGGAAGGCCAGCATTGAATTCAGACACATGGATTTGTTGCTCAATCAACAATTGAAAAAAAAAATGAAAGAATGCTTCTATAATTCATGTAAACTTTAGACACAAATGCTGAAAGAGCAAATGACAGATTTTGCTTAGTATAGCAATATAGCAGGTTAAAGTGAAATGATTGCGGATGAAAAAAAAACTACACCGAATGTTGCATAGAAAAGCATTAACAATTGTGTGAAAACCACACCAAATGATCACTATGGAACAATAATTTCTCAGAGATTAAAACTGGTTCTTAAAACCATGTTGAAAATTAGGAATGTATGCCACGAGCTTCGTAAATAACAAGAAATTACAGAACTGGTTCAATACAAAATGAAACCAGAATACATTCAGAGACACAAATGAAGATAAGCAAAATAGTCCACATGCCATGCATTTGCATGGACATAAAGAAGACCTCATATCAATCACTTTCTAAGAGGACCTTGGTATATATAATATATGTAAGGACTATTCCCCGAGTTTTTCAACATATATGGAACCCTGAAAATAAAGGCATCCATAGGTTATGCCTTATACCTTATCAGAGCCGAATGCAGGTAAACAATCCAAAGATTGTTCTGTGGATATAGAGGAGTTAAAAACCCTAGAATGTACCACATTTTCTTCAGACGCTGCCATTACCATCTCTTGGACATTAGTGCTAACAGTAACTGGTACATCCTTCAAGCCATTTAAACCAAATTTCAACTCACTCTTGTTACTAACGTCTTCATCAAGTTTAAACCGAACCTTAGTATTAGAACATCCAGAATTTTCACTCTTTTCTAATTCCGGTATCATGTTCTGTTCAGATAAAGGAAGTAAACGGATTTCAGAAACACAATCTAAATCAATCCCAGATTGATCCAGTTCCTCGATAGTCAATTCTACATCCTCTTTTAAGTCAGAAGTTTCAGATGCTTTAACATCTTGCTTATTTACAGATAACAAACCCATGTTATCCAGAAAAGTAACCATTTTTACATCTATCACATGGTTATCATCATCACCATCATCAATTTCCTCTACTTTTCCATCCATATCATGATCCCCATTTTTTTCAGCCACGGGATCTTCCATCTGCTTTTCACTGGTTGGAGACTCTGAGTTTCCGTCCTGATCCAAGCCACCAACAGAAATGTCTGGGGCAGGAATCACATTCAGTTTAAGTGAATGATGGGGTTCCGTGACAGAATCCTCCATAATAGAGTTTTGGGCAATTTCAATGAGGGCATCCATCTTAGATATTCTTAAAGGCACATCCTCCTTGACTGGAGACGTGTCTTCTGTCCTCTGGATATTTGCCTGAACTGGTGAATCTTCGACCCTCCTCACATAATTCCTAACATGGATTCCCACATGACCATTGTAGCGACGCCTTTCCAGAAACACCTTATGGCAGAACTGGCACTCAAACTTCCCATCTTTAATTATAACTCCATCTCCAACAGATGAACCAAGCCGGTATCGCCTTGTAGTCCTCTGGTGAACCGACAACAGGTGCTGCAAGTATGGATCCTTCTCTTCAAAACTCATGTTGCACTTGCGACATTCAAACAGATCATGAATCTGCACATCTGCGAGATTTTCAATCCCCAACAAGGCAACCTCCTTTACTCTTTCATTACCAGCCGCAGACAAACCAGACACATCCGAGTTCACGGCAATAATCTGTCTCTGATCTTGATGCTCAGGGGTGACACCAGCAGACTGCAGCACAAGCACACACCCCATAAATCCCACGATAACATTTAAAAAACAGATTGACCACTTCTAAAGTGAGGACGCACATTTCAGAGGATAAAGTGCAATAATAATAATAATCATTAATTAGAAATCAACCATTAAGATTGTAATTAATTCTAAGGTTTATTACACATGTATTTGGTTTCATCACTAATCTTAACCATTGATTTTCCAGTCAATAATTGTAAGTGCACTCTATCTAGAAATGCTCAAAGAGCCACATCCCTAACAAAATCAACAATGGCAACATGTGTACTTACATTTTCAGCAGGCACTCTCTGTTCCTGCACTACATTTTCACTCCTACGACTAATTTGGGACTGTGCATCACCATTACCCAGAAGAGACTGTAAATACGAAGAAACCTCTTTGCAAGATACAAAGTGTTGTCCACTGGGGCTGCGTGGCGGAATATCAAATAAACAATGAGCCCTAAGGAACAATAGCGTTATAGCGAAAAAGAAAGTCACCAAGTGATAAAGGAAGAAGAAACAAAACCTAATGTATCTGCGGCAATAGATCCACGCACGACCGTCCTTCCTCTTCAAACCAAGAAGAATCTTCCAACTAAGCGGCAAAACATCGCCAAAATCCGCAGCATCAACAATCCTGCGCTTCTTCCTACGGCTCCCCCACTGGCCAGGTAAATCCCTCAAAAACCCTAACAGCTCCTCTTCGTTGCGCAAACCCTGGGTGCGTCTCTTCAGCTCGTCAGCGAAGGGGTCTTGGGAGGTAGCCAACTGCGAGAGATCGACGGCGACGCCGTTTCGGTTAAGAATGTCGATTCCGCGGTAGCAATGTTCCAGGTGGAGTTTGAGCTTGGGCTTGCGGCCTCGCTTACGCTTGACGGTGGGTTGGGGAAGGGAAGGGGGAGCGAGGTGGACCTGGTCGAACTTGGGGTCCTCTCTGATCAGATGTTTCAGGTAGTCGATGATGAGGCGGTTCTCGGCGTTCTCGGGGTCATGGGCGGGGAGGGGAGGAAGCTTGGGAGCAGGGAGGAGGCCAGCGAGTCGGCGTCGGCGCCCCGTCGGGGAGGACTGGGGGCGGGAGTAGGTCTGGCGGCGGGAGCCGGCACTCTCGTTGAAGAGCGCGGGGTCGATCTTGGGAGTGACGAGGTCATTGGTGGCGCGAAGGTCGAAGGTGCAGAAAGAGGAGAGAGAAAGGGCGAGAAGCTCGGAGTGAGAGAGAGTGGTGGAGTCTATGCACGCAAGGGACTCCAATTTCAACGCTGCAGCTTCCATTTTAGGAGTGATTGGTGAGTACTTCTACATGACCCTGCAACCTCGTTTCTTCTTCTCTTCTTTCGCCGCAGATTTTCTCTTTAAGGAATAAATAGTCAATGTTGTTCCCAGTGCGTGTTCGTGTTAGTTTAAGGATTACAAATTTATTTTTATTCTTACCCGAAACTTATTATGAGATTTTTGTTTACCTATATGTTAATTATTTCCTTGTATATATTTAATTCCATGGTGTAAATATGATTAATTTCTCACAGTCCATTATTAAATATTTTTAAACTTTATACTAATTATTTCTTTTTCTATACTCCTCATTAATTATTTTTGTGAATCAATATTACTTGTTATTAAACAATGTTATACTAACCTTATTAGGTTATTAATACTATATCAATTATTTCACGCAATCATGTTCATTTACTTCGAAGTATTTATAAAACTAAATTAATATAACTAATGTCAAAATAAGTAAATACATTTAAACATATAATTATTAGTGACGGTAAGGGTTTTTTTTTTACAATTCTCAAATTAACATACATTTTTTATTATTTATTTACTTAGTAGATCTAATTAGAGCAATATTTTATGGTACACAACACTCCTAATAGTTATGTGACTTTTAATGAAAAATTGAATAATAAAAACACTCTTGCCTCCTTTATTAAACTCATATTATTTATATTCACTTTTTTATATTATTATCATTTATTGTGTTTTGATTAACCTATTAAATGAATTTGCAGATTATTTTAAGCTTAACTTTTGAATGAGTTTATTGTTCGAGTTTTTTACTAAACAAGTGTAGTTTAATTAGAATATTACTATATTAATGTAATTTTTTTCAAAATTAGAGAAATCGTGTAATTTGTACGCAAAAGTCATACCATAATCTTTTAAATATTTTGAAGTCGTGTCATCTAGTATATTTTGAATTTTTTTATTCGTGTTTTGTTGTATTTTTTTATTTTTAAATTTTAATTTAATTATAACATAATTTTATTTTATAATTTTATTTATTTATCATATTTTAATTAAAAATTTTAAAAATATAAGAATAATTAATAAAATGACATATATTAATATTAATAGAAATAATTTCATAATGCAAAATAATATAATATAAAGTTAAACAAAAAAGAATTTAATGTTGAGAGCATATTTTATAAGGTGATTTTCTTCTATTTCATTTACGTCTTTCATTTTGTTGAGAAACATTTGTTTGTTGTGCTTTAGTATCATTATCATCTTTTCTTGAGTTAGATAATGAGAAATAGGTATTGTTGGCCAATAAAAATTCATAGATTCAACTTGATGATATATGTTAAATGTGGTATTATAGAGGAGGTGACAAAAATATTTGATCCAGAAGACATCATATTAAATATGTAAGGGACATGTCCTTCGAAATGACTTTTCTCAACTAGATTTTGAAGATGATTTATATAACTATAAAATATAACATGGTGAGAAGTAAATTGACAAACTTGTTGATAAGTTGATGAATGAGGCTACTGGTAACTAAATAGACCAACTTACCGATAACTTGACTGAGCGAATTACTGGTAACTAGATGAACCAACATGTAAATAGGTTGGTTGAAGTGTTTGATGTTATTGTTCCTCCTATGGTGTATCATACTGATGAAAAAAATATATAATTAATATTTATGAGCAAAATATAACTAATTAAAATAATATTTCATATTTACTTCATCTCGGTATATTGTGCTTGTTGAATAAAAATACATCGTATAGTGAGTTAAAAATACCATTGCATATAAAATATATTTTCCCATAAATGTTTATTTTCATTGAATTATTGACCTTGAATTAGTCGATTATGTCAGTCTTTTCATAACATAATCCGTTATTGATAATACTGTGACAAAAATGTGTTTGTTTTGTCCATTATATCTATTTTATAAAGTTCACCTAGGTTCATTGGATCATGAGAAATGTTTTGTCATAGAACAAATTGTCTTATGACTCGATCAACATGATGAAACTCAACTGTTGCAAAACAAATGAAATGAAAGGTAAAATAGCACGTGAAGCAGGAAAAACTTCAACATTTATTAATTGTTCACTTATACGGTAAGGAGTCATGTAATGTGCAGATTAAATTAAAAATATATTATTTAAAAATAAAACATGTATGTAGGAATAATAAATATATTATTGTATAATATCTTTTTGGTGATAATTGATCCAACATGTATTGTACTACATATATGATGTATGGAAAGGTATTTGACCTCTAACCAAGTCGAGACCACCTAAGATAAAAAATAATTTTGTAAAGAAATGCATAAAAATATGTTAATATGAAGGTAAATCACAAATTATATCTTCTTGCTAAAAGAAAACTATATCATGCATCAACCTCTTGATTAGTTAAATCTTCAATAGGTAAACAAGGACATGTAATTAGATAACATGTCCAACATCGAAGAAGTAACATACAACCTTCAATATTTTTTTGACGGGGGTCAACTCCATGGTCCAAAGTTCAATAAAAATAAGCAAGTACAATAGATCCCCAACTGACTGTAGTTAGGCACAATAGTTAGGTTTTATAAAAATAAAATATATATCAAGTGAACTCAATAAGTTAATGTATCCGACATCCAACTCCCTATGATGCATAAAATGTGTCACGTGCATATTGAGTAATAACATCGTTTGTACCATAAAAAAGGTGTTGGAAGATTGTATTCAACAAAAAAAGTTTAATTGAATTCCTTTCGTCACTTCTTCTAGTGGAGTTGACCCTAATGTAGGTTTATAAAAGGAGGTCAAATCATCACTGTTGATACCAATAACACACCTTTCATCAATGAGAATACCAAGTCGCAAGACCAAGTTGTAGACATTTTTTAATATTATAGTTGTTTCACCCATAAAAAAGTGAAAAGTACGAGTTTGTGATCTATATCTTTCTCCTAATATTGTTATAAAATGGTAGTTGATATTAATATTTAAATTTTTTAATAAGGTTGAAAACCTTTTATTGTATCAAATTCAATATTCATTTATCAAGCATGTGAAAATGTTTAATTAAGCATGTTATATAATAAATAATTTTATAATAAATATTAGTATACAAAATATTATAAATACTATAAAATAAATAATATAAATAATTAATATAATACAGTAATAATATTATATTTAAATAAAATATTATAATATACCATAATAATTTTATAATAAATATATAATAAAATAATAATTTTATAATCAATTATAATATATTACATCCAAATAAAATATTATAATATTATATTATACTCTAAGGAATTAAATATTATAATATTATATTATACCGTAAGTAATTTTATAATAAATATTGTTATACTAAATATAATATTAACAAATAATATACTACAATAAATATTATTAATAAATATTATAATATAATTAATATAATACAGTAATAATATTATAAAAAATATTACATACCAAATAATATATACTACATATTATAATAGAGTATCGTAAATAATTTTATAATAATTATTACCATATAATAACATGAAACTAAATAATATAATAAATAATATTAATGTAAAACTAAAAACTAGAATTTAATGGAATTGTGGCTATAACTTGTGATTGGTCGATAATGGAAGAAATGATAGATGTCAAGTAGATTATCTAGAATGAAAGAGAAGAAAATAAAAAATGTGATGAAAAAAATGAAGAAAATAGATGTAACATGAAAACCAGTTTAAATAAAATGAGTTATTCTCCTCCATACATTAAGTTAATCTTCATTTCAATCGTCATAATTAATTGTGCAAAAAAAAAATATAATATTAGATTACACAAAAATCGTATTAGATAGCACTACTCTTCTTTAAAATAGTATAAAAAAAAAGACAATTTAAAATCGTCTTATATAAAACTAATTGTAAAGATCTCAATATAAAATTGTGCTATTTATAAAAAATTTAAATTAGACCAAGGTTAAAAATCCTTTCTGTTCACGTTATGATATGTTGTGTAATGTGATTGAATTTTAATGCATTTTTATTTTAATAATATTATGTGGGAAACGTTTATGCACCATCTTTATCATTTAAATTAAAAAAAAAACAATTAAACGTAAGAGGTGTGTGTAATATGTATTAAAATGCCACGGTAAAATGTAGAATTAAAATATTATATAAAAAATTAATAAAAATGTAATAATAAATTGTCAACTAACAGATTTAGAATATGGTACCAAGGTAATGGTTCTAAAGAGAAGGAACATACATGGAATACGAGAAAAAGTAAAGGATGTCGTTGTAATTATATATTTACACTATTACAACCTTCAACGTCGACCGACGTTATATCAAACGATGTTGAAAGTCCATAACTTTCAACGTCGGTTCTAATAAACCGACGATGAAAATTATGGATTTTTAACGTCGGTTTATTAGAATCGACGTTGAAAGTATAATTTTTTAAATTAATAATTTTTATTTATTTATAAATCCCTTTACCCCTTTATTTATTTAGAAGTCTCCCTCTCTTTATATTATATTTTTTAGAAGTTTATTAATTTTTTAAGAGAATTGTCATTGGTAGGATTCGAACCAGATACTTTAGAGTTGAAGGCTGATACTCCAACCACTAAACTACTGAAATTTTTTGATAATAACTTACAAATAAATTATATTTATATACAAATAAATATATATCCGTGTAAATATATAAATATATAAATACAAATATATTTATATATTTTGATATATTTATATAGTTATATATTTATATGTTGAATGTGAGGGTACACTCGAAAGTGAAAGTGTGTGTCGAGTAGGTTTTCAAAATTTGATGCTAAATTTGTGAGCATGTATCTTTATATGAGTTTGTAATTTAATGACATAATATAATCTTTATAATTTTATTTATATAATAATATAAAATAAATTTGGGAAACGCGTTATTCGCTCTCAAGCGAAAAATACCAATTTTCGCTCAAGCGAGACTTGAGTGAGTGAATTTCCG